TACTAAAAAGTAGATAATTAAACAAGATAAAAAACATAGATTAACAACTAATATACGCGGTTACAACTCAAATAAACTCAATCAACGCTTTCCTTTTAACAACTCAATCGACGCTTTCTCACAACTCCCACTTGTTCGAGTCTCTCCTTTCTCAAAAAGAAAAATGTCTCACGTCACGTCGCGCTTCTTCCACTACATTCATACTTTCTTTTCACGCATTCCTACAGCAAACATTTTTTTCTTTTAACGTGAAAGAAATCTTGCATAAGACACCTGGCTCCCCTGAGGAAGAGAGCCAGGTAGTGTTGGATTCCTACCGACTAAAACCTCCACGATGACTTACCTCGTGTAGTTAACAGAAACTCCGGGGCCGAGGTAATCACTGGGTGTGCAAGGATGGCCTGTTAGGCTCCTGCTCAGAGTGCATAGTCCTCGACACCATCCCACTTTTCCAGCGGCCATAGCTGGGCCGCGTTTACCTAGGGTTCAAAATGGAAATCAGACCCTCACCTAGTCTCTTTTGAATCCAAGAGTACTTATGCTCGTGCAACAGTTATTACACCTTAATCACGTATATTCATACCCTATCTATATTCTGATACTTACAACACCAGCTTCACTAAGTCACAGCAGCGGCAACGACCCATGATAACTACTAAGAGCTCTCAGGGACCACCATGCTATCTTCATTTCGAAGCAATCGTGCTCCTAGCGCGGCGCCCGGATCTAGCCCTTCTTTTATCGCCTTTTCTGTCTCACCAGCTCAGTTTTTTCGCGGTTTCTTTCCCTTTCTTCTTTCACTCTCAGTGTCTTCACAGAAACTTGTGAGCGTATTCCTCTTGTTCTCGTTGTCCAGTAGCGCACCAATTACCGCAGACACAGAAAGATCAGCATTCAGAACCCTACGCTGCTCATCAAATGTGAGGCACTCCGCAGTGTCACATCTCGCCCTACACTCCATGCATTTCGCAGTGACGTCCGCACCTATGCGACACAGGTATTTTCCGAAACAGTCTTGGCCAGTCAGCATCTGTGTCAACCTGTATGTAACATCGTCCAGCATTACTGCCTCCAAGTTCTTGTTTCCATTTCACATATGCTCTTTTTAATACTTTTGCTATCGCTCCACATCCGCTTTTGTGCAAATAATTCCGTCTCTCCGGGTAGCCTGCACTTGTTAAAAGATCTCGGCATCCGTCTTAGCAATGAGGTTAAAAGGCACCATGTCAGCAAGTGTCACCTCATATGATACCGTGCAGTATGCACATGCAACACGAATAGTCATCTCTGTATTCTGCAGAGGATCTTAATATCATTCTTAGTTAAATATTGCGACCAAATGGGGACCCCATACAATGTCATTGATTACTCCTGTGTATAGACGCCTTACTCTAGTCTCAGGGCTACCAATATTAAGGAGGAGTCGGCCAAGATGGGCAGCCATTTCTTCCACTCTCGAAGCCAATCTGCTAAAATGCGAAATTGAGACGTTCATCGAGTGCAACTGCCAGATAGCGAATGGCCTCCTTTACTAGGATTCTTTCACCCCCGACGCATATCCAAGTTTGTAGTGGGCAACGAGACAATGGGAGGCCATAAAACCACACAGCCTCCGTTTTCTGAGCGGCTATTCTCAGACTCAGTTTAGTTATTTCAATGTTGAATGCAGCCACTGGGGCCTCCATTAATCTCAAGGTCCTTGTTCCTTTCCCTCAGCCATAAGCACTATGTCGTCAGCATAGCATATTATCTGCACACCGCTGGGTACTGCCGCATTCAAAACCGGGTCAAATCCCGAGTTCCACGTCCAAGTGGACCAAGAACAGATTGTTGTGGGACGCCCTGCTCTCCCTTCCCGCACTGTATATACCGACCCGTGCTAGTTGTCTGATATATTTGGGCCCGCAAGGTTTAAGTGCTCTGAGATCTGGCCCGCCACAATCCTTTTAAACAGTTTTCATTATATAAACGGGACGGAAAGAAAATGGTGCTCCCAGCTCCCTTTTTTCTGGCTTAGGAATCAAGACCAATATAGCTATAAGTTTTTCAGACCTCAAGAAACCTGCCAGTTAGCATGCAGTCGTCAAAGAACCTCCTCATCATGGAGCACACACAGCGTCAACGCCAGGGACACCACCCAGGCCCCAGGTAGTCTAGCGTGACTCCATTTGCCTAATCGCTCTAGCAAATTTCTCTTCTGTAACCGGCAGTGGTGAATTTACTCAATCAGGTAACAAGCGTTGGATTCCGTCTCGATCAGAGCACTGGAGAAGAGAGCAGCCAATATATTTTCTGGGGACGTCAGATCCAGCGACTCCATAATTGGTAAAGCCTTAGTCTGAAGTCTTCCAAGAACTACTACTACAAGAATCTACTACCCTACGGGTCCCGATCAATAGCGTTAACCAGCTCGTCCCAAGCCTTGGCCTTTGCAGATTTAATGGCCTGCTGAAAAGTTGTGACAGCCTCCCTATTGTGACGATAAAGATGTTCTTCATCTTTCGGGGTTTCTTTCTTCCTCCTGTGGGTCCGCTGAAATCTTCGGCGTGTCTGTAAACAGCTAGCACGCTTGTCTTCAATGTCTGAGGTCACCAATATGTTGCTCTTTTGCAGCCCGATTGCGAACGGGACATAGCGAAATCGCAGATCTCCCTCAGCTTCCTCTGAAGCCATGCCGCTTTCTGATCTGTGCTTGATGAAGGACATCGCATGATGCGACTCCGTCGCATGAGCAGCCGCTATTATTAAGTCTTGATCCATCTTTTTGATTGCACGTTTTCTAAGAAGGTGCTGTCTATGCTCACCATCCTCCATTGGCCAGAGAGTCCGTCGGTGACGTCTACAATTCGTCATGTGTCTGGAGAGGCGAAGTCGCAGCAACAGGTAGTAATGGTCGCTGAGCATCTCCACCTCTTTCACCACCCTCCATTCCAACGAGCTTCACTGCGGAGAAGGAGGCCCACGACATATCCACGACGGACTTCCTGTATCAGTAAGGTTCTTGTCTTTCTTACGCTTTCTCATTCTTTTAATTTTTTACTCCTTCTACCTCTCGACCACTCACTCTTTCGCGCTCTGCATTAGCAGACGGTAGCTTCATCACAGAGTCCCAGGGAGCAGCACAAAGAGGTGAGATGAGTGGACCATTTGACCAATATAAGTCTTCAACTTTGCCGAAGAGACACGGCCTACAAAGAATAATCAGCTACATCGAAGTTTTTGATCTGAGTCCAGAAAAACTCGTACCAGTCTCAGCTCCCCATAGCAAACATTATAGACCATCTAGTATAATGAACCGCAACTAAAGATATAATAGCTACAACTATAGATTATGACTTAACAACGACCTACAATATTACAATAACAATAATAGTAATATAACTATCATATCATATCATAACATATTATAGTTATATTAAAAGTATATTAAAATTAATATTTAGAAAAAGGCTCAAATAAAACGTAGTGGTATCTGAAGGAATTGAAGTGTGTTGATGATACGTGCGTGGATAAAGGAATGTAAAGGTAATAATGTAGAGGGTAAGGTGAGGAAAGGTTGTGCGCGTTTCTCAGAGTCGCTGCCTAGACTCAATCTCCAGTGGGGCTGATGGCAGCGACCTCTTACCCCAAACACTTGTTATAACTACTCTCGCTAGGCTGGTCCCACCATCCTTAGCGGTGTGTTCTGCACTCTGCTTAACATCGAATATCGCTAGACTTCGACGCTAGGCACATAGCCACTTGCGGCTTGTACAAGTTGGCGTTCGAAACTCGTACTCGAGGAACTATAGGTCGCTACAGTGGGACTGATGGAAACGACCTCTACTCCAAACGCTCGATTTATTAGGAACCTCTAGGTTGGGCATGAAAACAGAGACCCATCCTAGATGGTGCTGCGCACGCTGCCGCTTAACTTGAAGATCACACTCGATCTGTAGGTAAGCGGCATCTACTTGCGGTTGATGGTATTCGTATCTTTGGAACTGGTGAATACTAGTGTATAGTAAGGACGGACGGTCATGTGCTAGTCGCTATAAACGTATAGGTAACTGGTAAATGATAAAGTCACCGTACTACAAAAGGAAATTTCATATTTTATTTTATGCGTGTATATGATACAGAATGTACGCAACGAATATATTTTAAACGACGTAGATCATAGTAAATTGTCTCAGCTATTCTCTTCTCGCACTCTTTAATTAACTGATTCCTCGGTGACTTATATATAAAGTATTCATAAAGTCTCTTTACAATTTCAAAAATTTATTACAAAGGCAATTGATGAGATATCTTCATCAGATTTGTTCTATGCATTCAGTAGTTATCAAGGTTTTTATCACATTGCATTTCAGGTACCGTGTTGATGAATAAGATGTTAAATGAACCCCTTACAAATGGCTACTCCTCAAAAGAAGGCACAGCGTGTATCATGGTTTATTGAAAATTGGATCTGCAGACTCAGCGAAACTTTAGAACTAAATATGGAAGAGATCCACAGTCACGTCCATCAATTCGTGCATGGCACAAAAAATTTATGGAGACAGGAACAGTGTCCAATAAAGGGAGGAGTGGACGACCAAGAACATCTGAGGAAAACATCGATCGTGTAAGAAAAACCTTCGATCGTTCTCCCAGACAGTCCATCCATACTGCTGCCAGACAGTTAGAGCTACGACGTTCAACAGTGCACAAAGTCATAAATGAAGCAAAAAGAACTTAAATATATAAGTCTCATTTTGTAATAATTTCCACTTATCTGTCTTTTCATTTGCCTTCGTAATAAATTTTTAAATTGTAAAGGGACTTTATGGACATCCTTTATATTCTTAGCGACTTATTATATATCTCTTTGACGACTTATTATAAAACTCCTTGACAACTGTTAAAAAACTGGCTACTTTTCCGTGCTGTCTTATCTTCATATCTTATGTTTCATAAAATTGGCGCTGTTAATTTATCGGAAACGTATCTTTCGACGGTAGGGTTGAGCGGAAATAGATGTCACTACGCTAGATTGAGTGGAAATAGCTGTCGCTACAGACGGCTACAAATACTACATTATAAGCATTATGAATGATATAATTATTTACATTTTACATTTAATTTGATTTTCATTACAAATTACGATATTTTAACCAATATTTACTAATATATAGATAACTAATATGTGATTAGGTTAAATTATTTTCATACTTTCATCCAAATAAAAAATTCAAGTATGCCTCCAAAAAAAAATGCAAATCCTTCAAAGGCAAATAAATCTAAAGCTGTAGGAACTGGAAAAGAAGAAAAAAAAGGAGGAAATGCTGTGAAAGTGAGTATATTATATTTACATTAAATTATTAAAATATTTTTGACTATATATGTCTCAAAACAATAAATTTATTTTTTATTAAAAAAATTTTTTTAATTGTTTAATCGTATAGGTTAGACATATACTATGTGAGAAACAATCAAAAATTTTGGAAGCTTTGGAAAAATTGAAAGGTGGAGAGAAATTTAACGAAGTTGCTACTACGTATAGTGAAGACAAAGCAAGATCTGGGGTAATTTTTATACATAATATGATAATATAAATATAGTTGTTACATCTTTCTATTATCATATAACAATCAAAATTTTTACATTCTTCTAATTTGTCACTACAAATATGTACTGCATTAATACTACTACATTAAGAAATATAATTTCATTTATGAAATCTGTGTTGATACATGTTAATCAAACATGTTTTATATTTTTCAATATTATCAACAGTTTCAATTTAAACGCTCAAGAAAACAGCATTAAATTAAATATCTTATATACATATGCGCATAGAATGTTTATTCAATAGAATATTTCTTTAGTAAATGAAAAGTTCAAATCTATTTGTCTTTAACTATGTTATTCAGAAAATTTTTCATTACTGTATAATTATAAAATGATGTTTTATTTTATTAAAAATGTATATCTTAAACAGTACAAAAATAGCAATATATTATTAACATGTTGAATACAGTACGTATTATGAATGACAAATGCTAATAAATATAATAATGCAAATGTATTTTTTTCATTTTTATTTATGCAATCATGAAAATCATTGAATTGTATATGTTTAAATTTATTATAAACATGTACTTTCAAAAAATATAAAAAGTAGTATTCTGTGTTGATCATGAAAAATTTGTTTTTATATGCTTGCTATATTATTTGTGAAAAAAATGCTGTAAACCACTGTGTAAATATTATTTGTATATTTATATTATTTCTGAAAATAAAAAAATATATTTCTGTCTAATAATTTTGAAAATTAATATTTGAAAAAGGGTGACCTTGGATGGATGACTAGAGGATCTATGGTTGGACCTTTTCAAGAAGCTGCATTTGCATTACCAATCTCTTCTATTAGTTCTCCAATTTACACAGATCCTCCAATTAAAACCAAATTTGGCTATCACATTATAATGGTAGAAGGTAAAAGATGAATAATTTATAAACAATTTTATACATTTAATACATAAATATGCATATATTCAATTTAGTTTTATGCAATTATCAATAATTTGTATAATAATGTTTATTAAATAAATTTTTATATAACACACATCATTTTACATTATCTTCTTTTATATATTTATAGTAGTATAATATTATAATAATATAATTAACTTATAACAGTTTATATATGAAACAAAAAAAGAATATTTCTTTATTTTAAGATTGACATCTACATAAATTATATATTTATAAATATACTTAAAATTTGTACTTTTATAGTGTATAACAAATAAATTATGATATATATTAATAGTTTCAAAAAATAATCATTGAAATATAATATATATTTCATATTAATGAAATAATATCTATATTACTAAAAGCCATATATAAAGTATATTTTACTTTTTTTTTTTAATATAAAATTCTCCTTAAAATGTATCAGAAAAAAAATATTACTTTTAAGATAGCTTCAATATATTAATAGTTTGTAATAAACATAATAAGTTTACATAACAAATATTAAGTAATTATAATTATGTAATATATAATAAAGCTATTTCAAATACGAATATTAGGACTGGTGAAATGAACATATCTCAATAAAGAATCATTATCTTCACACACCCATGGTTTTTTATGATGACAAGCAACATCATGCCAATTTACTCCATCTTTATAAAACTGATTTAGTACTGCTAAACAATTCTCTGGTGCACCTCCTTGTTGTATAGCTTCACGATTATCAGGTTGTGGTTTTCCAATACTGCAACAGTTATTTATTAATTGTTAATTTAACATGTTATGAAAATTTATTCTTTTAACTCAAAAGGCCGACGAAAAACAATTACAGGACAAGTGTATACCGAGTCGTTATAATCCAAACTTGAACACTCATTACAGATATTTTAGATTTAACTCTAAATGAAATATGTTAAAATATATTATAAATATATTTGTAAAATAAGTACATATATTTTATTATGTACCATATATACAGAATATTTTTTTTTATTTTATAATTTTGATTACAGATAAATTTGTAATATATTTGTTGTTGTATCATGAATTTTCTGTATAATTCATTCAATGATGTTTGTTTTTTGCGGATGAATTCAATATAATATAGTTCATGTCTGCTTTCAAAAGTAAACTTGCTAATTATTGCAAGTCTGCTTTCAAAATCACTAGTTCCTTTCTTAATATTTTTTTTTATGTTAGAGACGGCTAAAAGTTCAAGAAAAATGGAATCAAGCGTTGTATTGAGCAAATTAGTTTGAAATTTATTTTTCATTGCATTTGATGCATAAAGTAAAACAGAATTTTTGTTTCATCATTAAAATTTTTCTGTGTAGAACTTCCTTAGCGAAAACAGTTATGGAAACTTGTGAGATATATAAAAAAAGTTCATATGTGTATTTGAAAAAGACTTATAAGTTTTAATTTTTCTTTAAAGATTTACCTTTATATGTAATATATATCTATTGTCAATTTTATGAAAATTTCATATAAAATTTCAATATATTGATGAGATATTTCTTACTAAAATAAGACCAAACATAATATTATTATAAAATTTTATTGCTTTTTCAGTATTTTTCTATATTCATGACCATCACGTATAGTACACATGCCCGCGTATATACAAAATATAAAAATAAATGAACACTATTCTAGAAATTATTAATAAACATCGTAATATCAAAGTAGCATTGTTTAATTGTGATTTAAATAATATTAAATTTCTAGAAATTATGTGAATTATAGTTCAGAAAAACATCCATTAACATGAAATTTGGAAAGAGTGAAGATTTTGAGAAAAGAAAGATTCTAAATATCAAATTTTAGTTTCGGATATTTAATAATTTCTAAGATAGATTTTGTGGAGATTAATGTAATCAACCGATTTCACTGTAATAGTCGTCGACTGTTAAATAACCGATGATGTAACAATAGATATCAGTATCTATCAATATCTATAGGATATTCCACTTGCAATCAGTACAGTTAAACTTCGTTTTCGGTTTCGCTATTTTTTCAATTTTTTTGTATAATTCGATAAAAAAAATAGGAATTGAAATCAAATTATGTCATATATTTACTATATTTACTTTTTCGAAACAATATCTATTTTCGCTTTTTTACTATTTGTAAATTCATAAATTTTGTATATTTAAAAAAAGAAGATGCAAATTTTATACATTCTTTGTGTTACACACCATCTTTAAAATAAACATACATACAGTTTAGTTAGTTTGAAGTTTGTTTATACGTTTACCAGACGAAAAAATGGAGAAATATCATTTTTAATGACAAAAAAGAACTCGGTTTGAACGGCTATCCTTGATAGATGTAGTTATTATTTTTATAATTTAAGAAAATAAATCGCCGTCAAATAGGGGACAGCATTAAAATATATAACGTTAAAATAGGCCAATATGAAAGTGAAAGTATTGAAATAATTTTTTACCATGTAAAATTGTCTTATGCTTGCGATTGTAATCTCTTCAAAATTCGAAGCAACACAGCATTTTTATGTAACACTAGTTCATTTCGTTTTTTTTGTAAACTTTTAGATTTCTCAGTATGTCAATAATTTGTACTTAATAATTTATCAATTCTGTTAATACTACATTTTTTTCTCTATATTCGCAACGATTCGATCAGTTTCATTCTTATTTAACACTCTTTCTCGAACCATTCTTCTTATTTTAAATAAATGAATTAAAATTATAAATAAATAATAAATTTTCATTTCTGTATCTGCTTGAATAATAACTAATAGAAATTCTTTCCCTAACTTTTCTTTTTTATATACATATATTATGCGAAAATTTTGTGTGTTTACTCTAATGCTATGCAACGAAAAGGTGTATAAAATCTACATCTCTTTTTAAATATACGAAATTCATAAATATATAAAATGTCTTATTTATCTATTAATATATTAATTTTATTATTTATTTTTATAGAAAAAATTAATTTTTGAATAATGTAAACATTCCTATTTTTAATACTTTTAAAAAATTAACATCTTCAATATTTCTAACTTCTAATTAGTTTAGATGTTAATATTTTCTAAACGGAATTATTAATATCCACGATTATCACTTTGATAAATTTGTAAGAAGATATATGAGTTCATATTTACCCTCCACTTTCGGACCAGTCATTATTAGAACGATCATTGGTAGGTGCAAGCTTTTGTAATTCTGCAGTCCAGAACCAACCATTAATATGAGGAGGTTGAAGATCAGGTCTATCGCACCCTTTGAAATCACAAAGTCGACCAGATGTCCAAATATATTTCACGTTATCTAAAAAGCATAATATTTTTGTATGCATATTCTATTACTATATATTATATAAATATATTAAATATCAAATATTTTAAATACTTTGAACAATGCGACTTTTAATAAACTCGTTCTCGACAGAAGTTTCCAGAGAAACAAGATCCATGCATCTTTGCCTGCAGAAATTTCTACCTGCTAACCAATCAAGTTCTTGTCCACTCGTTCTTGGATCAGCCCATGAGTAGTAGTAACCCTTGCCATTAAAACGTTCATGAATAATCCCTAAGATACATAATTATCTAATTTTTTATTTGAATTGATGTAATATTCCTAGTAAATATATATTTTTATCACTCATTATTAAAACCTAATTTACTTAAAATATTATTATTTCAATTCTAGAACAATTAAAATAATTTGCGGTTTTTCATAAAATTTATTTTATAATTGTTTAATATTTTTCTTAAAAAGAAATGATTTTAAATAATTAAAATATCAATATATTGGAAATCCAATATTAATGGATATTTTTTTTTTAAATTGTATATTTTAAATGAGAACCAAAAATACTAATAAAATCTTTATATTCCTTTTTTTTATTAAATACGTATTGAAATAATAATAAAATAATAAAATTAAAAATAAGATATTATTTTTAAGAAATGACATTTTAGTACAATTTTTTAATTGTAATTAACAATTTGAAAAAATTCAAATACTCTAATATTTTTTTTTATTAGATTAAATAGCTTCATAATAAATATAAAAAGTAATTGTATGTAATGCACATTTGAATCTGTATGTCATACACAAATACTTGGATTTTCACAATTGAAATAAATATATAAGTTTAAATACGATTATAATTTCTAATAATCCGAAATATAATTATCAGAATGACCAAATAAGTACTTTAAAGTTAAATTCTTATTCATTGTTTCTTCCGAAGAGAAAGTTATACCAGTGACATTTTTAAATATGTATTTCAGTCACGACTTAAATGTTGGATTGGTATGTTAATTATACAAGCTACTTTCTCAAATGACAAGAAGAAAGTTTAGTTGTACATAGCATAATGAAAATGAGCATTCCAGAAAAAATATAATGTATTAATATTACAATGTTATTGTTAGTATTATTAGTATTTTTCGCATACACACGAAGAAGTCATCTTAAATTTTATATTTTTGTAATTAAAAATATATATTTTGTAGATACATAAATAAGCATTTTTATTAATAAATTTTCGTATTTTTTATTATTAATTAATATAATTTTTTTCTATAAATGTTATTTGCATCTAAAAACTCTATAAATATATTTGAGGAATTATTCTCAAAAAATTATTTATTTACAATTATTTACAAAAAATTAGAATTGGAAATTGGATTTTTACTATTATGTAATATTTATCACATAATTCAAATTTACAAGAAACGTAATATGAAAGATTTATTATTAATATTGACAGAAAATATAATGAAAATATTTATATAAAATTGTAATTTATTTTTACTTACTTTGTGCACAAAGTGCAGGTATTGGAGCTTCTAAAATCCTTCTAGAAGGTTGAAACTGAGCCATTGATAAAACAATCAATGAACCAAGTATAACAAATCGTATCATTTTTATAACTAAAATTTTAAAACATAAATATTAATTTCATAAACAAACATATAAATATAGAAATTTTATATATGCTGTAACTTGCACTTCTATTATACAAATAAATTTCAATATGCTGTATAATTTGATATAATTACAAAATGTACTGTATTTACAATTACGGATTAAAAATTGTTTGAGGATTTTTTTATAAATAATACAATTAAATAATTTAATTTAATATTATAATGAAGATTATAATTATGAAGATTATATTATAATTTCGTATTTATATGGATACTTGTGTTAACACTCGAATGAAAATGTTCAAGTCCAGTCTGACAATGCTTAATAATGCGATAAAAAAAAAGAAGAAAAGAAAAAATAATTTTATACTTATTTACGTTAGAAGCGAACGAACACAGACATTGTCGCTTACACAGTTAGTTAACAATCATCGAAGTATTAAAGAAATTTATAATAATAATGTAGAAAGATATCAATGTAAGAAATTCATGATTTTATAATGTATTAGTGTTACTTTAATAATATGACAATGTGAGATGCTTAGAGCCATTATCAGTAATTTCTTTTTTAAAACATCACTAATATTAAAGAAAAATATTTATAAGGATAATATTTAACATCTTTAAATCACACTATTTGTTCCAAAAAATATTTTTTTTAAATTATTAGAATATTTCATTTTTAATTAAATTGGATAAAACAAAATAGTTATTATGTTGTGAATAAATCGTACTTTTAAAACAATTTAAGTTCTAAATTTAATGTAATAAAATTCAATTACATAAAATTTTGGCAATAATTAATATTATTAGTTAAATTATTTCATAAATATTTTCATCTTACAATATGAAAATAACATTGCTATTGATTATTTTATTAAAATCTAATTCCTACAATCATATATATTTTTTAATCTCTTTGTTTTAATAAAAATGGAAATATAATCATTAATCATATAATTAAAATCAATATTAATAAAAATTTCAAACAAAAATTTTTGAAACACGTTAAAAAATCTGCAATTAATTGATCAACAAAATATTTTTCAAAGATTTCTTTCTATGAAATTTTGTTTCGTTCCAATGAATTAATGATGCTTACCTATAGACGTCTTTCGAACAACTGCGATGCTTTCTTCAGAAGCACCCCTATATATATATAATGAGGACATGGTGTCAATACATTTGCGATTGCACAAGTATTTTCAGAGATGTCCTACCATAATTTAATATACTTTCTTTTTTTTATAGAATAAATATTATTATTTATTAATTGAAATTCTATATTAATTTTTGCAAAATACGAAGTATTTTAATTATGCAACAATTTAATAAACTGATTCATAAATTTATCAAAAAACAATGATATTTCATTACTATTATAAATTACTAATCAATAATTATATCACCATAAATTTTGTTCTGTAAAAATTGTAAATCTAGATATTAATAATACAAAATACAACATTAATAGAATTGTGTGCATATTATATATCGTTTAAATTATTAAATTTTGTATGTCATATTTCTTGTTAATATTTTATATATATACAATATATAATATTATATATATATAATTATATATAAATATAATTATATTATTTATTATAGTATTTATTACTATAAATTGTTGATAAAATTAATAAAAATACGCATTTTATTGCATATTTTCTAGAATCTAAGTAAAAAAAAATATGAGCTTTTAATCATAATAAATTATACAATATCAAATTATATAAGAATATTTTGAATTTAAACATTTTCCAAATATTTTTCTGTAATATAATTGTTATTACGTAATATACTTTTAATTTTACTTAATAATTTTATTTTATTAATTTCAATTTAATTTTCTTTTATAAATTACGAAAATATTTCTTTCTTATAATAATTTTATAAATAAATTTTTACAAATATTGATTAATTAAAAACTACATGTATTTAAAATTTAAAATATTAGTAAAATAAAAAGTAAAAATAAAAAATACTTCCGATTCTCTTAATTAATATTTCCAAAATATTTTCATCTTGGTAATAAGAAGCAGTATAAGTACCGTTAGAAAATAATTTTACGCGGTAATGTAGGTGACCTGGAAACCCAAAAAACATGCTATACCGATTGAATGAATGCGACTTTGATTGTATACATAAGGAATAATTTAAGAAAATATAATTTCAACAATTTTTGTAAATTATATTTACTATATAATGTATAGTTTATAATTTATATTAAAGAATAAAATATAACGCATTATTTAAAAATGTTTCATTAAGAAATAGGTATTAATATAATTTTAATTGAATAAATTTAATATATATTTGATTTGTTTTCAAAATATAATTAAATATTAAAACTATTCTAGAATATTATAAAAATATGAAAAAATTAATCAGTTTCTAAAAATTATAATGAAAAATAAATTCTTAAAAACAAATTCCATTAATAATTATCCATTATTTTATTGCAATAATAGTTAAAAATAATTATAATTGCATATATACAGTTATATAGGCATTTATAATCACTTTATTTATTAATATTTAAAGTATTGAATATTATATAAATATTTAAATACTATGTACATATATTAATAAGTATAGTTTTTATCAAAACAGGTGTACACAAATAGATAACGTTATTTATGAAAATTTTTACTATTTCGTGTTAATCATGTATTAGAAGTAAGAAAAAATGAAGTAATATCATCATAATATTATACTTGATTGCAAAATTAAAAGATCATAAAATTTTCATTAAATTTGAAAAATTATAAATTCCTGAACTTATTAAAAAAAAAATACCTAAGATCATTTGAAGAAGCGAAATTTTTACTTTATTATTCTCTCTCTCTCTCTCTCTCTCTCTCTCTCTATAATTATTAAATTAATATATTAATTTTATTTCAAAGTGCTTCTATATTATAAAGCACGAAATAAAAGTAATGATAATTTTCTTTTTCGAAACCAAAACTAAACATTTCACTGGAATTTAAACATTTTGTTCGTAACTCAAATCATTATGCATATGAGGATAAAAATTTTTTATTGATTTCATTGACATGAATTTTCATCATATTTCAATGAAAACTACCATGTGTGCATAAAAATAATTCCAGATATACTATACATTGTAGGAGAAAATTTGTAAATGTATCTCTTAGATATGGATTTATATAGACGTGCATATAATACTCAAAATATGCACACTAATATTTAAATCCTTATAATTTTATAAAGTTATTTAAATATATTTAAATTTAGGTATTTAAATACATATAAACACCTTTATTACAAATATTAATCTAACTTAATCTAAATTAATTATTATTTAAGAGATACTAAAAATTTCTTAATTAATTTAAAAATTTATTATTTATAATTATTTGTACTATTGTTACATTAAAAAACAAAATAGGCCATTATATGTATATACAAATTGTAACTATATAGTATGTACAAAAAGAATACATGACAAAAAAATAATAATTCATAGTATGTAGAATCTATATACATATAATATTAATTATAAGATTTATAAATATAAATTTATACATGAATAATAGAACAAAGATAGCAACATTCACATCAACATATGTTAAATTAATTAATTAATCTTTTCTAAATATAAATGAAAATATTATCTCATATTCAAATTAGAATATCTAATATAATTTTTTATATGAATAGATTTTCAAATAAAATCTTTTCTGTTTAATTAGTAAAAAATGTAACATAAAATATATGTTAATATTTCAAATAAAATATTAAGATTCTATATTTCATGTAAAATATTTTATTTCTTAATCTCGATTTTAAAATAACTTTTTACACTATAATAAAATATAATATAATAAAAAATATAATATAATAATAAAATATAATATAATATAACAATATTATTGCTAAATTTTATTTTAGACGATTAAAAATTATTGACTTTTCTGATTGTCTGATAGTTTACAACGAATTGAATTCAAAGTATAAACTTAAGTAAATTAATAATATAATTTTTTCAGAAAGCATTCTTCACATTATACCATATTTATAGTAGATTTATAGATATAGATCTTAAGTTATTAATATTATGTTTACTAAAAAGAACTCTATAAAACAAAACACTAGGATTATTTAATGATTTAAAGTGTATCTGTAGTATAACCTTAAAATCCCTAGTAATACTATAAACATGCTTATATGTATATATAAATTTACCTTCTTTCAAGAAATATAATGAAACAACTGTGTATTTTCGTTTTACACTGTAATAAATAATTGCACATATTGACTAAATTGTTTTTTATAAATCGGTTATGATCCTCCGTAAATGTAATAAACTAACAAACTTTGTACGTGTATTATAAAGTAGTTTTCCTTGTGCAAAGAAACAATATGTCCACTATCCTTTTTGGCGTTCGCACTTTTCTATTTATTATATACTACAATATAAATATAAGATGATGTGATTGAATTAATTGTTCTTTTTCAACAATGTACTATATTGTGGAATTTGTTCTCGAATTTTATTTGTGAATCATGACAGAGTCGGAACTTTGCCGGCTCTGTGCCGAAACCAAAGAGAATTTTATCGGAATTTATGAAGCAGAAGGACAAAAATTAGCCATAGAGGCTAAAATTGCTAAATGTTTACAAATTCAGGTAAAAATAGTTTTCTTTCTTTGTTATTCTTCATAATTGTTTTTAATACAATATATTTAATGATTTTTTTTATTCTTTCCTTTCATAAAATATAGTTTTTTTTTTGGAATTTCAATGTGATATTATGTTTTAATATTACTAGATTAATCTCTATATTTATAAATATATGCGTAAATTGTATTAAAATTCAATTGTATTAAAACACTGCTGCAGGTATTAACAAATGATGGATTGCCACTTACAGTTTGTATAGATTGTTGTATTTTATTGAATCAGTGTAATGAATTTTTTGAAAAAACCAATCAAGCACAAGTGTCTCTAAGACAATTACTTCTAGATCGCAAAATTGAGCCACAGCCATTAGAATCAAGTATAAATTATAGTGATAAAACAATTGCATTTCCAAAAGAAGAAATTAACGAAGGAATTGTTGGATGCCACTTATCAAATTATATCCACGATACATCTAATGTCTCACATAATTATTTTATTGAAGAGAATAAGAATGGTAACCATCAAAAATATGAAAATGAAGAACCTCAAGATGTTATAAAACAAAAAAAATGTAAAATTCAATTTAAAAAATCAACACTTAAACAAACTAGAAAAAAATTGAAACGAAAGAGTCAAAAAATGGAAGACTCAGACATGTATATAAACGCTGATTTGAAAAAAGAGCATAAAGATATAGACATAAAAACTAACATTAAAATTCCAGATAATTATATGACAGGTAAATATTCTCATCATAGTAATAAGTCTCATCATGATAATATACATACACTTTTAAACTTTAAGTTTAAATTTAAAAATATCTTACTAGTAGAATCATTTATAATATTCACAAAGGAAAGATGAAATGATTGATAAAAATATTTGTATCAACTATTGTTTATTACTATGAATATAGACATTTTTTTTAAATTGAATAAAACCTAATCATCTGATATGTAACAAGTTTTTCTAAGAAAATTACGAATAAAATACAGTAAAATCTCTCAATTTATTTTAAATAAAATAAAACATTAATCTTATGGAAGTTTTTGTTAAATTGAATAATGTTTGTTTCAAATATTACTTTTTATTCTGGAAAACAGGCTAATTTTAACAAAAAACAAATAAAAGAATATGCAAATATTGTTCTGAATGATATTGATTGAGATAAAATTCTAAGGAAAGTGAAAAGATTTCAAATAAAATCTTAGATTTAGAAGATATTTCATAGTTTAGAAGATTTTCTTACAATTTGCTGAAAAGCATCATTTAAAAAACAATAAAAGACAAACTACTGTTAAGGTTGCAATTTGGGACATTCAGAATATCTAAAACATAAATATTTAAATAGGGCAGCTCAAAATACTTATCTTTAAATATATTTAAAATAATATTTTCATTTTTTGATTTTAGTTTGTTATAATTTTAAAAAATGCAGAGGAAAAAGCAATTCAAATAAATATTATTCATTTAAATAATAATTATCTTAATTAAAAAAGTTGATATTACATTCAATAAAAAATAAATGAAAGTATTCCTTTACTAATAGAGTCACTTCATAAAAATTTATTACATATTAATGATTAATTTATCTATTCCATTAAAGTATAAAAAAAGAAAATCAATAACTCTCCAATGATTTTTGACAGAATGATTTATTTTGACTGACATTTGTGGAATATATAGATACATACATATATGTGCATACATATATACATATATGAATATAAAATGTTACTATTAGCTTCTACTAATTTGCTTTCACTATTTTACTACATGATAATTTAAATATCTTTTAAATTTATCATAATTTTTATAAAATAATAAAATGGAAATATTTTTATATTGATATTTTTTTTATATTACATAAAAGTAATTATTAAAGCAAATTCAACAATCTGTAACATGATTGAATTTAAAAGTACTGGTTACAAAAATTAAAGAAATATTCAGATATTCAAATTATTCCAATTATTCAGATTATTTCATTATTTACTTATTTATATTATGAACTCGTTCTCATTGTAATTACATACATACCAGAGTGTATGTATGATTATTGTAAATATATGTATTACAAATGTAACAATGGTAAATATTCATTACTATACTGAAATAGATTGCATCTTAAATAATTTATTTCAACTGAAAAACATTTCAAAACAAAAGAATTTGTAGAAAGAGATTGTATATTTGAAAAAGAAATACAAATAGATATAAGTTCCTTGCATTTTGGAGAAAATCCATCCATTTCAATGCAAAAAGTAATTACATTATGTAATTATGAGTTCTATATAAAAAAAAATTACATAATTATAAACATTTAATTGTGCAAGAACAAGAAAAAAGGAGTTAGAACTTTTTAGAAAAAGGAATTAGAACATTATAGAATATTAATATTATTGGAAAACATTATCATTACTGAGGACAGTTACTTTATATTATTTTCTAGAAAATAAAATATATCAACTAGTACATAAAAAAATATACATAATTTACTGAAAAAGATATAAATGATTAAAAATTTAAAAAAAATCATTTTATGGAGAAAAAAACATCATTCTGAATTAAATTTTATCCTGACATATTATTTTACCATATCAAAAATAATATTAAAAAAATAGATAGAAATTACAATAGATAAAATAAAAGAAAACATTCTGGAAATTTGATTAATTTTCTTAATATATTTTATACATTTTCATTATTTAGATTTATTTAGACATGTACTTTGGCATTTTTGAATAGAAATTACAAAATAAGTTCAAAATTTATACATTTATTAAAAATGTATAAATTACTTAATATCCACAGTCTAGAAATTTATTGTTTTTTTGAATAAAAATAACTTTGTATGGTACATATGTGCATAACTAATTTGCTGATTTCAACATACATACAATATGAAAACAAAGCATTTTGCATATCTTTACTTCAATATCTAGTAAACATTTTGCCATTTCTTTTAATTCCATGTGTGTTTTACATTTTCTTATAAATAAATCTTAAGTTATAAGTATTACAGAGATAGAAATAAATAGCTGGAGAACCTAATTGTCTATAACTTGTTTAATCTCTGTTTAATTAAATAATTATCGAATTATGAAATAAAGAAATCTGTTATTAATATTTCATTCATACTATTTTTTTACTTTAAGGTATCAGTCTTTTTATCGTAGATGCATCCTCTGTAGAAATATGCATAAATATAATGAACGATATACGTAAGATACTAAAAAATAATTTAAATAAAAATTATATTGATTCCAAAAATCTATAAATTTATATTGAAAAGTTTTATATGAAAATTAGTTCCCTATGAAATTTAAATTTTTAAAAAATTTTAATGTCTTTCAATGAATAAAGTTTTTATTTATTTTAAATTTATATCAATAAATATAATTATTACGATAATTATATGTAAAGTTGTTCTGTTAATTTTATGCATTTGCTGACTATTATCTTAATCAATTGGAACATACAATATGTAACACATTTACAGTACTAAGCGTAATATGATCGAATTCGTGTAATACATTATAATAAACAGATAAAGGAAATTTGTTTGGTGTAATTGTATAGTAATGATGTTCTTCAAAAAAAAAATGTTTAAAATATAAAACTTCAAAATACAATAAAAACTGCTTTGTAAAACAAAATTTTAATAGATATTCATAATGACAGAACATTCCTCTAAAATCTAGTTTAGATATCCACTTTTAAATTGCAAATGTTTAAATATTTTGAAATCTCTAGAAAAGAAAACTGATTATATGTGAAATTTTTCTTTACTTTTGATCTGAACTGTCAAAATTTTCTTCCAAAATAAGATAAAGAAGCAAAAGCAATTTTCCATATGTAGATATATATAGGAAATTGAATTGTGATTAAAAATATGGATGATATGATTTTAATGGTTTTTTCTTTTATGTAATTAATATTTGACTGTAATATATAACAGTATAGTTATAGATTGAAATCATTTTTATTAGAATTGATACATTTAGAAATACATTTTCTACATTACTAATTATTAATATTTGGTCTTACAATTGGAATAAAATTATCAGTTGTTATTTCTAGACCGTTGGTATTTTCCAATTCTCTGTGCGCATATACAGAATGAGATGTCTATATATTTTCTTATAGTTTTTTGATGTGTTCTAAAATTATTAACATATTGTCAAATAACACCACTAACATTAGGTTATATAATAAGTCTGATGTATTTCCTTTTATCACCAGTAACAGTTTTATAAATATTTGGGGGGCTTGTTTTAGGTATCTCATATCTTATACTGGACCAGTAATTGAATAGTGAATGTATTACTCACTCTATAATTATAACTGATGTGTTTTATTTTATAAAAAATATTATATATACAATATATAAATGAAACTAATGTTATTATAAACATTATGAACATATGTACACGGAATAACTACCATATATATTGTTTTTCAAGAGTATATAAGAGACTATGATTACCTGAGTCGCTAATAACTCGCAGTGGTTTTAAATAACGAAACAAAAAAAAATATATATATATATATATTGTTTTTAAATTTAAAACAAATAAATGTCTTTCTTCATTTGAAAAATTTCTCAGAACAAAAATGGAAAATTTAATTTTTATAAACTTTTTTACACTGGTTTTTTCTTATAAAATAAAAATGTAGCACAAATTAAATATGGCAAAATTCTTAAATTTTTTTCAATATACAATTTGTGTAAAATTTTATGAAAATGTGTAACAGTCACTATGTAAGTCTTGACTTTTCTGTCTATTTTTAAATAATAATTAAATTAATTAAATTAATTTCAAACACAATTTAATATATGCTTAAATAAATTTCAATTACACTCTTTATTAAAAAAAGCATATTAATTATATGAAAGAGTACATTAGAATAATAATATTTATACTATAATTTTTATATATAGGTACAGATACAGATTTAGAAATTATAGAAGCACATACAGTAGAAATATTAAAATTCGGACGTAAACGAGAAGAAAATTTAAATAGGTATCCATGGCTTTGTACTGATTGTAATGATAAATTACCTAGTTTAGAAAAATTAGAAGAACATCATGAAACTATTCACAATCAGCAGGCAAAATATATGTGTGTCTTGTGTTGTAAAGTTTATGATAAATATTATGGTTTCCTTACTCATGTCAAACGACACAAAAACAAGACAAAATTCAGGTAATATTCAAATTTATTAAAATATTTATTAAAACTGTTTAACATTCATAATTTAATGAAACCATTTAATACTTGTTATAAAGTTGTGAAGATTGTGGAAAATCATTTGTACATAAAAAAGTATTAGATTCTCATAAGGCAATTCATAGTGAAGAGCGGCCACATGTATGTCAAACTTGTGGAAAAGCATTTAGACAACAAAGTGCTTTATATATTCATAGTCGATGTCACTTACCAGACACTATGAAAAATAGATATCCATGCGATCAGTGTGATAAAAGGTATAATTTTATATATATTAATTTTATTTTTTTTTATTGATACACATTTATTAATTTTTTTATAGTATTTTTATAATATAAATTCCTTGTATGTCATGACTTTGATTCTATATTTTCAAATTGGTGGAAATCTGTTTAAAAAATCAATTGTAAAATCAATCTTGAGCATGATTTTCAAGCTTAAATTTTTTTTATTACATCACATGTAGTACTCGTCACGAAGAACAAATATTTCAAAAGAACTACGGATCCTTATTTTCCATTCTCTTGAAAAAATTATTACAATTCCATTAATTTTTAAATTTATTTTATTTGTAATATGTTTACATTCTGCGACCACAGTAAGTAAAATAATATCTGTTGTCGCATGTAGATACCCCAGTGCATATTCCATATCTTTCTTTTTTCTTTTTTCTTTTCCTCTATTTAAACAGTATTCCGAATTAGTATTTTTATATTTCGGTCTCAAGATTACATATTGATTTATATAACAAAAATCACATTCAATTTGATGTTTTAATTTTTCAATGGATATAGTCTGTTCAATTGAACTATAAACAATTTATTCTCACAAAGAAAAAATCTACTGCTGTTAAATCTCATAAATGAGAAAGAGCAAATCTGCATCCTGATTATGATGATCCAAACATTTCGTTAAAATATCAGTGGTCGACTAGTATGATAATTTGGTAATATTCAAAATTTCATAATGTAATATATCATAATACAACATCTCATAGTTCGAGTACTTTATATTGTTCTTATTAGTTTTTTTCATATTGTGCTTTATTTCTATATAATCATTATTTTGCATGTTTCTCGTATGAGATTTAACAGCAGTAAATTTCTTTCTTTTGTGAATAAGTCTTTCGTTGTACTTTGAGTGAATATATTACATTTATTTAATAATTAAAACATTAGATTGAACGTAGTTTTTATTACATAAATTAGTACGATTAAGCGAATAGTAATACTATTTTGAGTCTGTTTAAATAATGATAAAGGAAAAAAAGAAAGGGGCAAAAAAAGGAAAATATAGGATATATAATGGTGAATCTAGAAACTATCTATTTATGATGATAAATATTATTTTCCTGCATTTAACTGTAGAATATAAGCACGTTAAAAAAATGAGTTTGAAAACTAATGGAACTTTCGATATTTTTTTTTTTTTTTTTTTTCAAGAAAATGGTTGGGTTGTGATCCATGGTTTCTTTCAGATTTCTTTCTTTATAGTATACATACATTGCAACTAAAGAAAGTGAAAATCATATTCAAAGTTAATTTTATATAATACAATATAATGAATATTGCGTCTATCAACTCATTAAATATACATAAGTATTTTATTTTATAATTAAATTATCATATACATAAGTATTGGCTTTACGCGATCGCCAACTTATACGAATATTTTGATTATCTATTGCTCTTGTTTTCGTTTCATTCAACGTCAATCCTCGGTTAACTTCGATCATTACCTTCTACTTATAGGAAAATTTAAATTAATTGGTTGACAAATGCCAATCAATATTAAATAAAAAGAATAGGATTTGTATTCCAATCAGAGCTAAGAAGTTCGGCAAAGAGGCAAGAACTAAGAACTAGAAGAGAAAACGATATCATTTGACACTCTTTATAAAAGCAGATGACTCCTTCGGTACTACTGTCTGGCAATTCTTTTCTTTCCTCCAAATCTGTAATATATCCGCCAACCTTTCCTTTTAAACTTTCTTTTTAAAATTCGTTTCCTGTGGTGATTTCGCGTGTGTTGATCATACGTCTTGAGCATATGTCTACTGTATAATATCCTCTGCATTCCATTTTGAGAAACAAAATCATCGTTTTATGATTGGAACCCAACGTGAGGCCACAAAATTGTTATTATTTTACAACAAGAAATTTGTATCAATCTCCACCAAACCGAAGCCGTAGAATGTAAAATCACTCTATAGTTATTATGACATATAATTTCCTTTCACTCTGTACATGTGTGCAGTATCTATAGTTTATATCATTTAATAATTTTATATTTAATTTCATTAAAAATATTTTTTATATGCTATATTAAAATATATTGTGAATCTATACTTCTGAATTAATGGAGATATATTAAGAAATTACACTGCAAAGTTGATCTTAAATTTAACATTTAAGTACAAATTTTATTTATTTTTCATTTCATTATACTTTCTAGAAGAAATAAATATCAAATATTTTTAGCATTAATTAAATAATTTTTTTAGTATAATTTAAAAATATCAATATTATATTTATAATAGTATATATTTATTTAATTTCTTTACCTTATTTCTCTTTTTAATTTATAAAAATAATATCATTCTCAGAACACTTCTTCATATGTCCAAACACATACTTTTATGTGCCGATTATTATTATGTAAATAATATTTTTATTCACACAATTCTGATCTTGAATGAAGAATTTTAAATAAATTGGCCAAATTATAATACGTATGTTTTATTTAAACATGTATATATATATATATATATATATATATATATAAAATCTCCCTCTCTCTATATATATACATATATATGTATAATCTAATCTTTACAGCATTTCTTTAATTATTTCAAAAAGAGGAGTCTAATAAAATGTAAATATGGAGTAATTTTAATTTAGAAGTTAATTAAGTTTTAAATAACAAATTATTTTTCATTTGCATTGTAACATAAATTATTCTTGTGTAATACAATACAAAAAAAAAAACTGAATTTCAAGATTATGATCTATTTTCATTTATTTTATAAAAGTGGTATATAAATAAAGTACAAGTAGTATGCAAGTAATAAAAGAAGTTTTTCAGATTTTCAACAAAACCAAATTTAGTCACACATAAACGTATCCATTCCGGTGTTAGAAACTTTACATGTGATCAGTGTGGCAAGAGTTTTATTCAAAAAGGAAATCTAGAAGCTCATTTTTTAACTCACTCTGCAGACAAACCATATAATTGCAATCAATGTTCAAAAGCGTATGTTTATTAAAGAAAATATAATAATTTATAATTTATTTGTAATTATATTTACATACATAATATAATTTGTAGTTTCAAAACACCGTTACAATTGAAAAAACACGAAACAGTTCATACAGGAGCAAAACCACATCAGTGTGCTGTTTGTGGAAGAACTTTTAGAGAAAAAGGTACCTTAAGGGAACACCACAGAATACATACTGGTGCAATGCCATTTACATGTGAATTTTGTGGTAAATGTTTTCGATTCAAAGGAATATTAACTGTAAGTTAATTAAATAATTAATACAGTATTATTTAAAAAACAAAAAGTAATATTTTTGAATTTATTTTCAGACACATAGAAGACAACATACTGGTGAACGTCCATATAGTTGTTTAGAGTGTCAACATCATTTCACCAATTGGCCAAATTATAATAAGCATATGAAACGTAGGCATGGAATTAATACATCACATGCAAAGCATTTGTCACAATCTCAACAAATACAATCACAATCGCAACAGTCACCAGAGCAACAATCAGAACAATCACAAGTAGATCACTTAAATGCTTCAGAACATTCAGTTTCTATATCCCATACGGAATCATCAACTGTTCATGTAAGAAATTATTGTATTTGATCTAATATTATAGTTTATAGTACAGAAATATACGTATAACATATGAAACTTATTTCAAAGATGAATTTAAAACATGAATTGATATGAAATGTGCAACAAATTTCATTATGTTTTGAATGAATTATCTTCTACAATTTATCGATCATAGAAAAGAAATTTTAATCATTCTTCACAAAAACCATTTTTTTAGTTTGAAGTTTCATTCTTAAGACACAAATATTAAAAATTTTGTTTTGTTTTTATTTATTTAAATAAATTTTTTTGTTAAGGAATTTATTTAAATAACAAATAATTTGAATGTGTTATTTATTCTATATTTACATAATTAAAATATTTAGTGTTAAAGCTTTAAAAAATTTGTTAAAATAAGATAATGGTATTTTATAATATCTGAACTTTACTTAAAAATCATATTTTGTTCATCGTAAACATAAATGAATATTATTCCTAAGTAGGTTTTTCTATCAAACGTGACTACAATCATTATAACGTTAATTCTATATCAATTGTACAATTTGTTATCTGAAGTCCAATTGTTATTATATAGAGTACGTATATATAACTGAGAGATTAAAAAAGTTAATAGATGCATTTTCGTGCTGCTTAAAACAAACTTAATTATTTTCATAGTTCGTAAAATTTTGAGTGTGCATTTTAATTATTAATGATCATTAAATTATGAAAAATAAAACTTTTATAGTTTTTAATTTACAAATACGAAATTATTTTGTATACGATATGAAATTGTTTAGATTTTTATAATGAAAATGATAATATGATGGTATTTGAATGAATTCTAAGTATATAATTAGATCAATTCTTTTTTTCCATTTCTTTCACGCTTAATGTTCTCATTCTCGGTTTCGAGACATTTAAAAAGCAAGCGAAATAATTCAAGAGAAATATCATTATTAATATTAAAGCTCTTTGAATCTTTTCATAAGAACTTTTTTTTAATAGAACAATTTGAAAGAAATTCAGAAAAGATAATATTTACAACGATAGTTGTTGGATCAATTTACAGGATGAAAGCCTTATCATTGATTTTGATAGTACTTTATAATCCTTTTTAGTACTTTATAGTACTTTCTTGATATCCTTTATAGTACTTTTTATAAACAGCAAGAAAAATTTAAAAATGAGTGGTTGGACACCAATAGCATTGAAGAGAATTTTTATAAAAGGAAAATTTTAAGAAATTGACCCTTTACAGACCAGACTACCAGACACATAAGTATCATCTTAGTTTAAAGATTTTGGAACATACAGCGAAAGAATGACGTATGTGGAAAATTATGTTTTAGAAACTCTTCATTTTATTTCATATCAACATATCAAATCAGATCAATTGTTATTCATAGATTTGTATTTCAACATCATGTAATATTTTTAAAAATAATCACTTATATGTAATTGTAATTTAAATAGACATACAGGGTGTTTCGTAACTTGTGGGACCCACTTCGGGAGCTGATTGTACGCCTAAAAATAATGAAAAAAAGTCATATAAATACATATCTTATCTGTCTTCGTTTATTTTCATCTTTTTTATACTAATATTCGTCTACGTATTCCACACAAATTTTGATAAATTTTGATAAAATTTTAGTAAACTTATCGATGGTGTACTTATTTGCTTGCTTAACTAGTTTATCAGTCAATTCTTCGGTAAAAATAATTGACAAAAAACTATCCATTTAATTTGTTTTAACTTGCGGTATAGGTATTCTTGACCCTCATGTAAATGTTATTTTTGATAGATTTTCGTCTCGAATTGTAACATTTATCCATATACAATTTCTGCTCCACGGGTATCTTTACTGTCACTAAAGATATTGAAAATTTTTATTTTTTTTTTTTTTATGACATATATTACTTCTAAAATCAGAATCACTACTACTTGTAATACTAATATCATTATCTATAGTATCACACTTAATCAGATAAAATTCAATATTCGAATTAATGTCATAAAATGTAAAATTCTTCTTGTACTCTTATCGCAAAAAATTTGAAAATTAATTATATAATTAATTTAATTTATAATTAATAGAAATATGTAATTATATTTAATTTTATAGGCATTTATATATTATATCTGGATTTTTAGAGTTATAAACTTATACATATATTATTTTATAGTTATATACAATTATATTACAATCATATGCTGAAAAATAATGAACTTTCGTCTGTATCTCCAAAACGAAATAAGATAGTTTTGCATGAGTATTCATTTTATATCTTTCCTTTATAAACTTGCTGAGTATTGATAAGTTTGCTTGACACAATCAAGAATAATATCATTTAAAACGAGATTACAATATTAACAAAATTCAAGCTATGAATTGCTATGATGGATCGCTTCACATCCCAGATTTGAATATCCATTTCTTTTCAAAATTGAAAAAGACACTCAAGAATATTATTCATTTCAAATCGGACAATAAAATCAAAGCAGCAGTAATTTTTTGTATCAAAAGTGGAAAGCCAAAATTTTTCGCTGCTGGAATGAAAAAACTCATTACTCGTATTAAAGTTAATAGCCATTAGAAAAATAAATATGGTATTTTATAGCTAAGTCTCATTTCAATAGGTGTTTTTGTTCAGACGAAAATTCATTGCTTTTCAGCCAATCTTTGTATATAATTATTTTATAATAATATAAAGCAAAAGCACAAAACAAAAAGAGTTCAGTAGCACAAATGAATTACTTGAAGCATTCAGTGAAATTAATATCTGAAGTGAAAGTTCACCTTGTGGAAGAAGAATATTCAATTCAAAAGATTAGATTCCTACAACGGAAATATTTCAGAGTGTAAATAGTTGTCGCGAGTTATTGTACACCAAAGTATGTTTGAACTATTCTAGCGGCGAATTGCCAACACAGAACCGTAACATCAGAACAATCCGGGTGGTTTGCCAATCTGCAAAGCATTAAATATTGATTTAAAAAAAGAAAGTACAGACTCTGTTTCAGATTTTCATTTCTTTGTAAAGAACAATATATAATAGTAGACAAAAGAAAGTTTAACTTCCAAATATTGTTATGTTATAGATAACTAATAATTTGTGTTAGATAACTAAAACTTAGGGCATCTGACTTTATTTTGTATTTTCCTTGATAGGGATTAATAATAATTAAAAATTAAGTAACTTAGCTCTAAATTGTTATTAGTTGCTATTTTTCTAATGATTTAATGACATAATTAGAATATAGTGATTATATATTGATATATAATAAGTAGTAATTATATATTGATATATAATAAGAGTTAAAATATACTATGAGTATGAATATTATTGAACATTCAAAGAAATAGAATTTATGCAAAAATTCGTTTCATAATACTTTGAATATATTATGTACTTTTTATACTATACATATGTATTTTGTGCATTTTTACTTAAATTTTACATGAATGCATAATAATCTACAGATCATTCATTACTCCTGCTAAATGTATGCTATTTTGTAAATGCTATTTTGTAAATGCCCGGAAGGGAAATACATTTATCTTTTAAACTTTCTTTTGTGCCATTGTATTGGCTTAGAACTTTGTGTCAAGTATTGGTTTAGAATATATAAACTCTCGACTATTATAGAAGAATGTAAATTATTTATTAACATAATATCATATATATATTGAAAGTCACATTATGCAACAACCTAACTTGACCTTCAAATAAGAATTATTAAGATCGTTTAAACATGCTTTTCAATCCCAGGAATAAAAAATCTAGTAAACAATTTAAAAAAATAGAGTTTAAAATAATCTTGAACTCTTCCAAAATTATTATAGTTATGTTATAATCCTCTCTAAACTTTTGTTAACAAATTTTTTTCATATCTTCAAAAACAAGGGAGATATTCATATGTATCCCATCGATAATAATATGATATAATATAATAATGGCACATCGTATACATTAATACATTTATGTGTCAATAAAATTTATTTGTGGATTTATTCAAAGATCTAATCCATCTGGTCCAAATCAATACCTATTGTTATTTAAAACAAAATTCAAGTGAGATTTGCATAATTCGAGCTTTCCTCTCTAAAATCATTTCAATAAAACTATACATATCTATTAATAAATAATTTGTATTAAAAATATAATACTATTGTTACGTTAAGTTAAAAGTAAGATACTATTAAGATACTATTATTTCTCTTTCTCAAGATGTTTCTTTCAAGATTATTGGGATTCAACCGCTCATATTAGAAAATATTAATAAAAATTATTAATGAAATAATTTTTTCCACAAATTAACCATAATATGAAATTACGCAATTGCTATGAGTATGATATCTATGATATATATGATCATATGTATGTACTGAATAAAATTAAATTAGATATAATAATCCGTAGTTAAAGTAACGTCCAGACTATTCCGAAATTTTGGGACAAGTTTCTGTTACTAGAAGGCACTCTGGTTTTTCCCACTATCCGTAGTTAGTTTTTAATAGATCTAGAAATAATATTTCAGTATTTTCCAAACATAATCTTCTTTGTTTCTTTATTATTTGTCGTCTCTCTTATTCTAAATAATCAATGTAGGATTGCTAAATTACTATTTATGACATCTATATTTTTTCTCATTCCCTTTTATTAATCACATGTCCCAGTATAAGAAAAGGAACAATATAGTAAAGTTGCAAAATCGCTCAATTTACAAGGAAATATCTGATTGGTATTTCTTTATAGCATATAAAAAAGATTTGTTTTTTCATAAAAAAGAACAATTATAGGACTTACATATTTTGTAAACATCGATTTTATGACTCATCATTAAATCGATAACGATAATAGAAATTGATTTTAAAAAATTGATACATACGTGAATTTGCATCTATGTAAAATATGTATGACCCAAATTAATATATTTGCAATATTAGGAATTATTAATATAAGCATCTTTTGTGCGTTGTACGTATAACTTTTATACTTAAAAATTAAGAATTTATAGCAGTTTTGCATATCACTCTTACCAGTGCTATGCTCTTTATAAATTTCGTAAAAATTAATTTGTAAAGACTAAATATAATTTTTTAAATTTAAAGACAACAAAACTTAATTATAAAGAAAAGCAGAAAAAAATATTAATCTATAATTAGAAAAATATGCAATAGACATGCTTATGTGAATCTTTTTTTGTTAACTGGCGTTTCAAATTCATTTCTTGATTTTTGTCACGTTTTCTTTTTCTATTTATTTATATATCTATCCACTTCATATGAATTCATACTCTCATATCAACCCTCATTTGATGGGGAAAATTGTCTGAAAAGTTATTTCCTACTACATCTTGTTCTTCTCTGTTCTTTTACGCGTAATATTAATTTTTTGATCTAATCCGAATAATGGCCTACAAAATAAAAAAAAACTACAAGACACGTAGCTAAATATTTATTGGAGGGCATTTTTAATGTTTTCAGTTAACTACGAAAGTCTATATATATATATCTCTGTCAAATTTGAAATATTTAAAATAGAAAAGAAGAGGTTTTGAACATTTTAGAAATCTCAATTAATTAATTTGTTAATTAAACCAAAATTAAACCAATTCTAAAATATTTTCTGTACTATATACAATTAGTAAAATGAATAAGATTTATTCTGACTATAACAATAATAATAATATACTTTATATTTTTTAATATATCCATCATAATTATATAGAGCGAATCGTGGGCAATTGCAAATATACTTAAATTTGACTAATTCCGCACTAGAGCGGATAATCGACACAAAGATATTCTATATATAAAATAAATAAAAAATGTAGAATAAAATTTTTTTCTTTAAAATATTATTTTCAAGAAAATAGACTTTGAATATGTTTTAAAGTTTCCATAATTGTGGTAATTATCAGAGTGTGATTCTACAAAATAAATCGAGAAAAAATTTTTTTTTCATATAATGCTTAGTTTTCAAGAAAATTAAACTTGAAAATTTATCAAATATATACACACATATGTACATATGTATCAACATTTAATAAAACATATTCAATTTATTTTCTTAAATCAAAAAAATTATTCTACATTTTTTACTTATTTTTGTACATAGGATAATCTCTTATTAACTATTCTTTTTATTAAATTAACTAATTCAATACTTTATAATTCATACTTAATAAATTTTCAAACTCTGACTAGTTTCGGGAATATCCTATATATAGCATTGCAGATCTGATCAGACTGTTATTCCAAACATATGCCGGATAGCATTCTTACAAAGAATATTTTTGATTGAAACGACACAAAGATGAAATCGAAACGTGTTTGAATGGCGATAATCTCATGTTATTATTGTATATTCTTCTTTTCTGAAAAGACATTTTTCTTTCTGTCTAAAGATCATTTCGATCCATTGTTTTTAAATTGAATCGTAACTGATGGCATTACTTTTTGCTTATACTGAATCCAGTTCCATATTTGGACGAATAATATAAATCTATCTTAAACCAGACATAGTGTATAGCAGAGACAACGAACTTCTTTTCTACCGCGAGCCGCCAAGCTGCTTATTCAGTCTGTCGGTTCCTATAAAAATTAGTTCACGCTCTGTTTATTCCATTCCGGTGCAGCAAGTCATACAAACTTTCCTTAGCTTCTTTTAACTTTAGCAGTTACAAGAAAACAATTTATATGTTACAAGAAACATATATATCTAATGCGAGTATTGTGACCACGATATTCTCAACGCAGTGGAGAGATCGATACAGTAAATGGGAAAGCGTTAGCTATCAGGAAAATAAAGGCAAGGGCTACATGCGGCGCGTGAGCCGCCAATTAGCCATCTCTGGTATACAGTATAGGAATATAACATATATTTTATACAATTTATTTTTCTGTTATTTCTGTTTCGCTTCGATCTATTGCTTCTGTTATTTATTGAATTTAACAAATATATTGTAGTAAAAGTTTTATTCACACAAAAGCATATGAGATTCATTCATAAAATATGTAAAAATGCACGAAAAAAAAAAATTATATATATATATATATATATATATATATATATATATATATATATATATATATATCTACGTATATACCTGAAAAACATATAGAATTTATGAACAATATTTTTAGCATAGATTTATTGTGTGTAACATTATTTAATCTGATATTAAGGGTGATCAGCGATTTTTTAATTAACAATCTATTTATGATGAAACACTATAATGCTACACTAGCATTACAGCAAATTGTAAATTATTTTTGCATATTTGTTACATTAAGTTATTGATATTTGTCGATTTAATTAACATTGACATAACATTTTATTTGTGGTTTCTCTCATTATCAATCAATTTATATTATGGAATTCAGCTTTTTAATATTGGAGTTATGAACAGAAATTTGAAGGATTCATTTAATATTTTTAATCAATTTTGTCTTTAAAAATTTACAATATTATGATAAATTATTGCTATATTGTTTATGAAAAATTATATCCAAATAATTCCTTAATAAATTAAGAATAATTTAATGCAAATTAAGAAAATTAAAGGAATTAAGATAAATTAAGGTAAACTTGTATGCCGAAAAAGAATATTCTTCATCATATGATAACGAATACATATTTTGTGCATTTGTACTATTGTATTACATAACTTTTAGTTTCCCAATCTATGAATTTGTTAAAAATGCACAAAACACACAACATATATAATATACACAAATTATTTAAAAACATTTCAAATTTATTCATTGATTTATTTTAATTTAAATTTATTTTTATCTTCAGATTCAAAATTATTTCAATCTTAATATTGATTACAATATTCTTATAAAAACAGATATTGACAGTTTTATAATAATGTAGTTGTAAGAAACTTCAATGATCTTGTAAACTCCTAAAAAAAATTCTTAGCAGTTATTGACCTTTCGATGTGATTCATGTTAGGTAAAAAATACTTTTTGCATTATTACAATTCGAAAAGATATTTAAGTGGTCTCATTAAATGGACTATCCTATATAAATAAGTTTATTTATAAGTTAATCAAGAATAATATTGAGACAATTGTTAACAAATATCATTCACAATATTTATCAAATATTATTATTAATTATAAGATTAAATAAAAGTAAAATTTAAAAAAAAATTTTTGAAATATGAAATTGATAAAGCTCAAAAAAGACGAGATCAAAACTATGAATTTATTATTTTAAATATTAATATAACTTTGAAATATGTTGCACATATGTCTGTGATTTTAATGCAATGCGGTTAATATTTCTAATAGCAATATTAAAATAAAATATTAAGAAACTATTAGTTATATATGATTAATAAAATGTACATATATATATATATATATGTACATACTATGTATATGTATATTTCGTTAATTTTAAATATATTGTATATGAAATAAAAAATTTTTTGATTATTTAATTTAAAACATCAGATATACAGTTAAATATGGGAATTATAATTAAAATTTTTGGAATCACAATTAATAATTTCTGATTTGAAAATGAAACTGTTTCATATTGTAAGTAAGATTGGATTTAATTGTATTGATTAATATTAAGTTATTTTGTACGTATATTAGATTAGATCAGTGTTTTTTAACCTATGGTTTTAATACAAGTATGGGAAAATACGTTTTAGAGGTCGTCACAGCAGAAAGTTATTTATAGAGGATCCATGGTAAACGAAAGGTTAAGAAACGCTGGATTAGATGATAATTCAATTATTCCCCAGAAGAAAATAATATTTATTTATTTTTAATATCCAGGTAATACAAACTGTTTCACATACGACTACTCAACCAATAGTTGTACAAACTATTCCAACTAGCACTGTCCAAAATTTTCAAGCTGATATATCTAATACAGTACAAGATACAGTTTTTCGAGAAAGGAGTGGAACATACTTTAACGCAGTACCAGCGACTCTGCAAAACTTTTTACCACCTAATTTATCATATAACTTTTATAATATTTCTAATATTACATATAAAGAATGATTTAGTATAATATAAAAGTTATATCCAAATCTATTCAAACAAATATATGTATACAAGTTTGTTTAAATAATAAGAAATCTTTTTTTGATTTTTACTTACTAACGTATTTATACATTTTAAGTGATATTAAAAAATAATTTTTGCAGAAATTATATTTTTATTTATATAATTACAATCGCAAAGAATAGTTACTTTTATAATTAGAATTTATTTTTATCATTAATATATATCAAACTACAGCATATATTTGCTGAAAAAGAATTATAATACTTTTAATATTCACTGTAAGTGAATGTAATAAAAAATTTCATGATTGAATTGTTTATACTTTTTTTTAAATACAGTAATAATATACAGCAGAGATGCTTAACTAACTACAGGCCCGTGAGCCTTTACCCTTATTTTTTTGATCGCTATCTCTTCACAAATCGATCTCTCCACACATTGAAATTTCTTCGCGCATGAGCTCCGCTTTCTCAGTCTGTTGATTTCCCTATTAAGCCAATGGAGAGATCAATGCAGGAGATACGCTAACGACCAAGAAAGTAGGGCCAAAGGCTCGTAGATCGGTAGTTAAGCGTCTCTGATATACAGAAGATTTAATATTTAAACTTTGTCATTATGTTCTATGGATGAAAATAAGACTAAAATGTCATGTAGCGAAAGTTTCATAAGTATTTTATTAAAAAATTATAACAAAAATATAAAATGTAAAACTATACATATTATGTTAGCTATGCATACAAAAAATCGTCCACCTTTGTTAATACAAAGTTGATATCGCTATTAAATTTACGATGAACTGAATATCATAGCAATTTTATCTAATTTCTTCACATGAAATTCTGATTCTTATAATCAAATCATTCCGTATAAATATTTTCGGTTTAGTAAAATTTTGCTTTCAGAGTCCTACATAAGTCGAAATCTAAAGATCTACAATCTGATTACCTACAGTCATCGTTGAAAATAGTCTTCAACAAATTTTCATTTAGCTTTGTTTCTTATTTTTTTATTATACTTTTTTAATGGAGCATTTGCAGAAATTTTGTTACATAACATAGTCTTATTTTTGATAAATGTTACGTTTAAAGTACATATTCCCAATGATCTTGATCTTCACATATATTATCAAAGTTATCCTTCAAAAAGTATTAACTATCGCATGTTATTTGAGTCAATAAAATAACTTTCATAAGTAGAACATACCTTTTCGACATTTAATACACATTTAAGAGAGTCAGGTCGTGGAATATTTTTATACTTAGAGTGTTGTTTTGTTTTGTTGAGATTCTTCACGACATCAATTCTTATAGTCCATTTTGACGAACATATTTCAAAATTATGCTTAAACTTCTTACTTTCGTACTGTAGCTTTTTATCGAAGTCATAATTTTATGGCAATATTTTCCGTGATAAAGTTGACGTTTGAAAATGTGTCGATAAAGGTTCATGCATTAGATTGATTTTTGATAGCGATTTAGAATGCGAATAATCGCAGTGATTAGCCCGTTCCACTGACGAGGAATATGAATAGACCTAGCCTTTACGGGGTTTCGTGGCCCGGGATCTGAAATACCGGTAGTAAAAAAAATCACTGGTTTTTTAGCGCACTCTACGTTTAAAGAACGGTGAATTAGAGAATTACATCAAGTAAAACGATCGAGATTGGTCAAGTAGTGAATGTGCTAGGACATATGATTTTTGAAACCCATTACAGCATTGTCAAACTTTCAATACCGAAATGTGAAGCTAGTAACTAACCGAAATTATCTTAGTAGGACATTGGGGTCTGTCTTTTCATATTCCAAAGCCACGGGCATTGGGATTTGTCTTTTCATACCCCAAACTCCCGAGCATTGAGCTGTTTGTTTTGCATACTCTAAGCTTCCGGACTTTGCGGTGTGTGTTTTTTTCCATACCCCAAGCTCTCAAGCATTAGGGTGTGTGTTTTTTCATACCCCAAGCTCCAGGTCATGTTTTTCCATACCCCAAACTTCGTGTGCATTTCGTTTCCTGACGAATAGAACAGCGTTAAACAAAATCCTAGCCTTTAAAACGACTTATTTTGGGGTATAATAATAAATTCGTGGATATAGAATAATTGAATTTGTATCACTGTTTACAACTTTAAGCATTATAAAGTGTAAATCGTGTGATTCAAATTACCTTTTGTGAATCAAATATTAGGGGACATAGATTCAATTTAGTTGTGAATTGTAAGAACTGTGAACTGCGATATATAAGTAAAATAAGTAAGTAAAGGATACATATAGAAAATGACGTTCTGAAACTTTAAATGCGTTTTTCTCGAAACAAGGTTTTTAGAAACTGTGTGCAAGATATCTCGGAATCTAACCAACCGATTACTGTGAAACTTGATACGTATCTTTAGTGTAACATTTACTAGGGATTAATGATCGAACATTTTTTAATTTTTAACAATTTCGAAAAATATAAACAAAAAACGTAGAAATTTTTGGCATAAATTCGATACATCAAAAACAAATAGCTGCTGTTTTCATAATTTTCACAAAAATGAAAATGTTGGATCGTCAATCCCTAGAGAATATTGTTTACTTTTGAACTTTTTTTATCTTTTTGTTGCAACTAGTCCTGTTTGGCTAGAATCATGCACACCGGTGGGCAATGTAAAAAAAAGTTATGTAAAAGGATGCCTTTAAAAAGTTAAATAAATGTTTCTCTTTTAATGTTACTTTTTATAGTTCATAATGTGTTGAAATAAACCACAAAAGCTCATGTCAATCAAATATGTATGTATTTGTTTTTACTAGCCCCCCAAAGTATTCGTTTTTAGGCCTGTCAAACTGTCCTGCTCCCTTAAAAATTGTAAATTTTTTGTCTTATTCAAACAATAGTGAAATAACAACACAATAAAAAAGACAAAAAATAAGAGAATACTCATTTTTTTAATAACAACACAATAAAAAACAAGACAAAAAATAAGAGAATACTCATCTATGATCTAAATATTAACTCGATAGAAAATATTAACTCAAATAGAAAATATTGAACTAAAATGTAAAATGTTTTAAAAATATGAAAATTGCAAAGTAATATCTCTAAAAATAAATTTTAATAAATTTATCAATACTGAGAATTAAATAAATTTATTTAAATGAGAAACAAAAATTTTACCTGTATTATCTGTTTGCATCGTAATTAGTTTCATATTTTCTTGTAACTTAGTAATTATAAATACAATTTATTAAATCAAAATTCAAATCAAATTCAAAATTACTTATTTATTATGCCTAAAAAAAACAAAAAATAAATTTTACTTTTTTTAGATATATTTATTTATGCATATTAACATTTTATACTACATAAAATAATATTTTTTAACAAAGAACTACATGATAGATATGTTATAATTAAAATCTGTAGAAATATATATTATGCTTCAAAAATTATACAGAGTATTTATAATAATAATATTTATATCAGCACAATTAATAATCCAAAATATAAAAAATAAAATAAAAATACAATGCCAACATAGTTAACATCTGTTGCAGCAAACAAAATATGTTAACAGAATTAGTATTCCAAGTGCAAAGAAGCAAATTTATTTTTCTTATCAATTATTATAAAAGATTAATATTAGTAAAAAATATTACTATTTCTGAAGTACTTATAATTAAGAAATAATTAAAATTTTTTGTTCTAATTTTTTTTAGAATAGAAGACAGTTTTTCTGAAAATAGTATATTAGATATTAACCATTCATCAGTATAAAAAAAGAAAATTAAGTTTATACAATATGAAAAGCAAGAAAATTTTAATAGTATCACATTGGTAAAAGTATTTTGCAAGCATGACTCTGTTGAACATGTATTTTTTAAAAATTTAGCAAGTTCATAAATAATAATTTATTAGAAGTTATCAATACACCTGTGATCTATAATTACAGTAACGCATAACTTGTACAACTAATTTATTTAACATATAAATAAGTTATAACACATACTAACATATTAGAATTATTATTTTGGTATTATTTACTAGCAGCTAATTCTTGAACCCGTTGCAATATTTCTTCAGATTTTAGATTTTGTAGAGGAATACGACGTTCTACTCCAAGTTCTAAAGCATAATCATATTGTTATTAAATAAGAACATATTATTTTGATAATATTCAATTATTTAGTTAACATATTGTTTTTAAGCATACACATTAATATAAAATATAAAACTTACCATATCGTGCATATAAAACGGGTTCTGTATCAGAACATTCCCTAATTAAAACTGGAAAATTTGGATTACTTCTTTTAAGTGGCACATATTGCTGTTCAATGAAATCTCTAAAATTATAAACAGGTTAAAGTACAATAGGCTCAATTCAAAATGAAACGATTTATTAATTAAAAAACTAGCAAATAAAGAATGACACATTTTATATAATCAATTTTGTTATTGTTACCTAACACCCTGACTAGACTTTGATGTTTGACATAAAAGAATTCGTAACTCTTTTAATTGAGGACCAAACTTTATTGCAGCCATCTTTAAATATGGCATGAAAGTTGAATCGTTACCAATATACAGGAACAAAAGGATCAAATACATATAAAATCTAATTTTAGTTACTCTAACATTGAGTCAAAAAATTACTGTCTTATTGGTAATATTTGATTACTAGGAATATTATACTATTTAATTTAATAATTTACACATTGTACTGTTTTAATATTTTAGTATGTTGAAAAAAAATTATTTAAAAAGGCAAAATATAAAAGAAAGTATTTTTAACAATTATAAATAACTATATTTAATTATAATTAGGAAATATGTAATTTGAGAATATATAGAATATATGTAATTCAAATTCTAATATAACTATATATTCAAATGAAGCGAAAAAGATAAAAACTATACAGTAGACGTAGAAATTTAATTCAATCTTTATTGATAAAATACTAAAAAAAATATTTAAACCTAACCTAACTTTCAGTTTGAGTGAAGTTTGGATAGTTTTAGGGACACATATAATCTCGTACTTTATATTATTTAATTATAATTAAAGATATCTAAAATTATTTACAATATTTTTTGCTGAAACATTTTTCTCTCTACATATTAAAATTTAAGTAAAATTATTGAGGAAGTAAAATTGTCGAAAAACAATAATGCCATTGTAATAATGGTCTCTTTTGAAAATGAAATATCATATTTGAGCAAGAATCATCTCTTTAGTAGATACTTTCAAGTAAAGCAGAACTATTCTATATTCTTGAAAGTCTACTGAAGAAATAATTTTAGTATCAAATAATAATGGTTTGGAGGATTATCATATCTTGTTGAAAGTCTGTTGGTTTGACATTCAAAAATACTTTTGCACACATTTTTTTATTTTCGGAATTTTCCATGACTTTATGAAATATTCTATTGCATTATTGTATGATTGAATACTTTTCCTTAACCCGGGATTACCCACGTAGGGGTCTAGTGCCGGGATGTACCTGTTAATCCCGGGTTAAATGCGAATTGACATTCAGGAATTAAGTTTTTCAAGGATTTTTCGCATTTTCATACGTCTTTTTTTTGAAAAGGAGTTTTTCAAATATGTACCTTGAATATTATTGGCAAGAGATTAAGCTGCAACTTTTATAGGCTTTACGTGGTTTGGATACTAGGATAATTTAAGCAAACTTTTATTGTATTAAGTATTAGCTAATAGTATAATCTCACGTTATTGTAGGTAAAATAAAAGATATATATATAAAGATAAAAAATAAAATGATCTTCAAAAAACTTAAAAATGTGAAGTGTAGAGATATGATGACGTCGAAAACAAAGTATGGCCGAACTGTAAATGATAATACAGGTCGATAATACTCGATAATACAGATCAATTGTTATCAAATTGAGAGTGAAGCGTGAGCAGACCATTAATATATTTCTTTAAATTTGAGTTTGCATCTGTTGCATCAATTTACAATTGCTAGGCTATTAACGACGACTTGCCCTGAAATTATAAAAGAGTAAATACACAAGTTACAAATAGGTAATTGATTAATTTAAATTCCTAATCAAATAGACCCCAAAATTTTCTATCATTTAAGTTATTTTCAAGAGATGATTCCAATTCGTACGTATTACGGAATTTGTACTTATTATGGATTTTATTTAGTGCAACATAAAATTAAATGTTCTAATAAAATTATGACATTACACCAGGAAGCTGGATCCTTTGAGAGAAAATAAAAATGAATAATTCTGAAGTGACCAATTCTAATCCTTGAAATAGCCACTTAGTGTCTTTTGGATAAAGTGGTGTTCTTTTTATGATTCTCGAAAAAATTTTTAATGTACGGAGGAGCCTTCTGTTTCCATTCAACTTCCCATTGTGCTAGTAATTTCTTTTTCGCTTCCTTACTCAAGTCTATGTTGTTGGAAATTTGTCGTTGTCGATTGAAGTTCCTAGATTGGTGATTTCTCTGGGAGCTTGAAATGCTTTTTTGTTGACAGGAATTCCTACATAGTCGGAAATCCATATAAGTTTTATTTCCTTTTCATTTAGAATTAAAGATTTTATGGTGGATTTCAAAAATTTGAAGATCATTGTTAAATTCTATATCTTCGATAACTGCCGTTGCACTTTTGGAATTCGTAATTACTAAGAATCTTTGAATTATTGTAGGTAATTTTGAAGAGTTGAAAAATGGCAGTTAGCTCAGCCATATAGATTGAGATATTGTCAGGAAGTTTGCTTTCAAAGGAAAAATCAGAGGTAATAATTGCATAGTCAATGTCGATATTCGTTTTTTATCTGTCAGTAGACTATAAGATTTTCTTATAGTTTTGATGATTATTAAGAATTTCAACTGCTAGGGAGTGAAGGATTATAAGCGACGTATCATTTTTTTGGTAGCTTGTTAAAGTTGTATCTGTACGGTATCAGTACCCATACGGGCATGGCAGCAGCATTGACGAGGACTGGTAGAGGAACCAAATGCATCGGCCAGATCCATATACGACCGGTTCCTTCTTACAATTACAGGCGTCTTCAACTATCCACTCTAGCATGAAGAAGTGCTTTAAACACCCTTCATGCGGTAAGAATTCCTTTTTGGGATCGCGACAAATGATTGTTTATGAGCGTGTCAAACAGCGGTAAACAGTTTGAAAATGTCACCGCCCATCACGATGGGTTTCCAATTGTTTAAGTTCACTTCACGAGAACTTTTTTTGTTCATGAGCACTACTAGGCTTCTATTCACGTGGAATGTATCCCATGCGTTATAAACAGCAGTTAAAACCATAGTTTTCGGGTTACCTCATTTTAGGTCCCGATAGATGCTATCGGGCCGAGGGGCTAAAGTTCTTCATTCTCCTGAGCCAACATATTGGTTCGAATCGATGGACGATTCCACTATAATTTGGGACAGTGTCTTCTGTCCACACTGAGGTTGCCATGAAATGCCTTTGATACGCTCTTAGACACCTTGACTATAAACAAGGCTTTGTTAAGAACGCGCTTCCGGTTAGTCCTGCACAATCACACGTTGTCTTCCTCAGAATTGATAGGAGTTTCGTTCTCCAATCCATTGGAGCTTGGTTCCGGTTCACTGCGATCGGCCGGCTCGCTGTTGCTGTTCGCATCCGCACTTGCGTGCAGAGCCCTTCTTGGAAGTAAGCATCACACGCAGCAATGACCAAGCAAGATCTGACAGCACAACTGAAAGTAATTATACACAGGAAGCATCAATCACTGTAAACTCCGCAATCAAATCTATAAGTATTATCAATACTTTTACAATAGTTTTCCGCAATTGCAGAGATGAATGACGAGAATGCAGGGTTTTACTAGACTCTGAATCACAAATACATTTCATTACAGATAATCTTTGCAAAACACAGGCCTGAAGGTTGCATCGACAAGGGTCACAGTAGCTGGTATCGAAAGAATAACCAACATGATAAGGGACGGTTTAAATTGAAATATCTTCGAGGTGCAACAGCTTTTGGGCCAGTATCTCATGTTTCTCGATGCCCATCATCACTGCAAACCAGCCGAACGTGCCACTGCCGCTAAGTCCTAAGTATTTTACAATACATACGTTTTGTCGATCCACAATTCCATTAGCATAGGATGGTAGATATGCTCATTGGTGCAAGTCTATTCTGGAAACTCTTGTATATAGGATAACATGGGCTAGATGTACAGTTGGTGTTACAAAAAACGCAACTTGATTGAGTATTCAGAGGACAATTGCCAATTAATTAAAAGTCAACTTCTTGTATCAACCACGTATCATTTATTCTTCGTTAGCGAGGAGTTGAACCTGTAAAAATTCTGGGAGCTCGAGAGAACTGCACGGGCCGAAGCTACGTGAGCAACAATTCAACGATATGATTCAACAAGATACATCTCGACGATACATAGTAAGCATTCAATTCAAGGACAATTTAAAGCATCTAGGAGATCCTCACGAGCAGGCAGAATATTCATCGATTTCACGCATTAAACAAGAACGCAAATTAAACAAGAATCCAGATCTACGAAAACAGTACACAGCATTTCTGAATGAACAGCATATGATAAGGATAATTGAGCTCATGACTAAGGAACTGCCAGCCTTTTACTACTTTTCCCGCGTAGTCTCCAAGGACAGTAGCACCACTACAAAAATTTGAATCGTTTTCGATGGTTCAGCTTAGGACTTATCTCACTCAACAACATCCAACGAATAAGACCAACAATCCAGAGCGATCTGTCTTTCATTCAGACAACATAAATACATCATATCCGCCGATATCGATAAAATATATTGTCAAATGTTAGGCCCAGAATAGACTTTCAACGAATTTTATGGCAGTCGAATCCAAATGCACCAGTTGGCATATACGAATTAAGCATAGTTACGTATGGCACAGCATCAATCCCATTTTTGGCGACACAAGTACTTTAGAAAATAGAAAAAAATTTCCCACCCTTCCAGATATTACTCCGTTCTGATTACTATCTATTCCTTTTATTTAAAAAATGAAACCTCTGCGATGAAAGATTTGCCTCAATAAATAATATAAGAATACATCTTGAACAATATTTCGCTAGCAAACCCCAAAATGTTTTGGAAAGATGATACGTATTACGAAACTTCTAAAGAGATGAAGGAAGCTTCATAATATCATAATAAATCAGAACATATATAATTCAATATATGATAAATATATCATCAAAAGGATATAAAACATACTGTATATAGATTATTTATTAATGAAACAAAAGAAACTTTTGGAACAACCTAATATAATTCATGTGTTATATTCACGTATTGTATATGTAAAATTGTAGAAGATGCATCGATAACCATAACACGTCGTATCGTAGCATAAATATAGAGTCGTGTAAAAGTTGTGAAAGAATTTGCATAAATAATAATTTAAAAAAGTATTTGACTTAAAGTTTATTTTTTGGTAGAATAATTCTTATGTAATAGTATTATCTGTTTTAAATAAATATTTATTAGCAATATAATATTTGATATTACACGCAGTAGTCTATTATTACAATAAGTTATATAGTCAAAATCCTTTTTTTTGCACATGTCTCTTTGTTCTCGCTTACATTACTTTTTTCTTCTTATACATCGTGCTACATTCTGTTATCACGATGTTACTTCATAGATTTGTACATATGATAAATCATTTATGACACACCATGAACTACGTTTTTTATAGATATTGTTATTGTTTGTATTATACATTGAAAAAATATTATTTTTGCACGTGGCATTTCTTGATGAATAATACGCTAAACAATGATCTTGCAATAAATTCGTGTTTTTCTCATTGCCACAACTCCATCGATTATAATTTTCAACTTTTCTAATGGGACATTTTCTTCTACGTATTTTTTGAAAATAAAAAAAATAAAACAAAATTTTAAGGAACTTCTTTGTATAAAAATTGTCGAAACACACATATATATATACAACAAGAGTATATTCAAAAATGCTTTGCAAGCACTTAAATCTTAATTCACGATGAAGAATAAATTCTATTAGAAAAAAAAACGCTCAACTTGTTGGAAAAAAATCTGTGGATAATACAAAAGCATATACAATTTATTCATGTATTAACTTTATTTCTGTTTATAATTTCAAAAATTAACACCACACACACACACGCACGCACGTATACGTATTTAGTACAAATAACATTTCTTTTGGAAATTTTTCTATAATTATCTGTAATAATAAATTTATTAGGTAAAAACAAGCCAAAAAATAAGCGTGCATATGCATATGACGTAGAACAGTAATCAGGCATAAGGCCCAAAAGTTTCCTTCCATGTACTATTGGAAGTATGCTATTTATTTAATAGCATTTATATTTTTTTTTATTACATAAAGAATTACAATCGTCAGAAGAAGTTTTCAAAATGTTCTTCATGTTGTGCTAGGCAATAGTTCAAATTCTATTTTCACTTTCCTAAGGAAACAGATTGTGCTACCTAGCACACGATGGAAAACATTTTTGAAACTTTTTCTGACGATTGTGTTATGCTATTGTAATTTATCATGTAATAAAAAAATAACATAAAAAAGTGTAATTGTTATTGATTTCATCTCATCATCTAGAAAATTATTAGAAGAATTAGGAAAGTTTCGTTCGTACCATTTAACTTTCTATCCTATTTTAACTTTGAAAATTGATACAAGTTCCTATTTTATTAAATATCTTCTTAAAAAGAAGTTTTATAAAAAAAAAATGTTTCATACAAAAGTTTCTTCTTTTTTTAGAATAAGAACCTGTAAAGAAATATGTATATATATATTTTTTAATTCAAAAGAAAGTGATTTTCAAGTAACCTTGAAAGTACCTAACAAATAAAATAAATAGTTTCCCTCGAAACTGTGAAACTTTTATATTAAACATTTTTCTCGAAAAAGTGTCTTCAAGATATTTGGACTGGAAATTTTCAAATGAATACATTGTATGTATGTGTTTTTCATATTTGTAGAAACATTTTACTAAAATAAAATTGCTACTACTAGTAAAATGCAAAATAAATTTAATTTTCTAATAAATCAATATTTTAATTGAGTGATAAAAATATTCTAAATGTACAAAATAAAATAATAAATAGAAATGATCAAAATGAATCTTTTTATGCTGAAATTTGATACAATTGGAGAAAGACTTTAACAATTTAAAGAATTAAACGAAAAGATATAATTTTTGAGAATTATTTATATCAAGAAATTACTGCATTTCAGCAGTAATTGTTCTATTATGTATCTGAAAATTTCATTATTTAGATATTTTTGTCTGCTTATTATGTAGTTTGGATATAAAAAAAATAGTTTATTGTATATTTATAATTTTTACATTGTTATTTACAATTGTCCATATTTGTTTTATACCATGAAAAATAATTGACATCGTTCTCTATTCAATATAGACTAGCGATTTATTTTATTTTTAATGTATTATTACAATATTTCAATCGCGTAATTGAATAAGAGTAGTATATTGTATCTGTAATTTTACGTGGACATAATTATAGTTTACGTCTCAGCATTTTTTATCAACATTCGCTAATTACGTTTTTTTTTAACCATCTTCAAAAAGCTTCTTTTAATACTTACCTTCTACTGGTCATCAAATTCTGTATTAAAACGTTTGAACATATTTAAATTTGTACTTACTACTTAATTATATAATACTTTTTTCATACGACTTACTAATTTTTATTAATTATCATATATTACTATAAATTTTATTATAAATTAATTCATTCATAAGTATCCAATGAATTTTATAATCTATAAAATACTTTTGAGATTTTACTCGAGTTTTTCTAGTTTAATCCATATCTTAGATTAAATATCAGGCATATTACAACTTAGACAATTTACATGTTTTTTAAATAATACTTTGAAACCATCAGCCTTATATGCATCTTGAAAACAGTTTGTATAATATAACATATAATTGTATAATAACAACATATTATGCACATTATACACATTATGTGTACATTTACATAGTCTATACAAAAACAACAACATAACAGATAAGAAATGACAAACACATATATCAGCATTGAAAATTTTCATTTTACATTAGAAATAAATTTATTTATACTTACAAGAGATTTAATATTCTAAATTGTCTAAAATTTCAGGATACAGATTATTTATGAACAATAAAAATATATTTGCTATTTATCAGTGTAATTGTAGATTATAAATCGTCATTTTTCACTTCATTCTGAAATTAAAAAAAATTATTTTTGTTAAAATTATTAAAAGAAGTTATAAAGCTTATAATATTAATATTCATATCACTATATCAAACTTTATTAAAATTGATAATTCATATTGGAAGTTATATCGTAAAATAAAATTTCAATAGAAAGGAAAACCAATAAAATAACGAAAATAAAGAAAAACTAATAAAATACTATATTTAAAATAAGAAAAGATTATAAACATTATAATAATTATAATAATTTAAAACAAATAATCTTAAAAGATCCATTTAATCCATTTAATCCATTTAATTTAATAATTTAATAAAAATTTTTAAACAACTCAAATTCTATAAGAAATTCTCAAATAAAGATCCACTCCCAGAGGGTGATATAAGATAGTAAATCAAGATCTTAAAGATAGAGTAACATAACTATTATGTAAATTTTATTATTCTAATGTATGTGCAAATGTTGTGTAATGTATACAAAGTGTACATCTTTAAGGCATTTCTGGTAATCGGATTAAAAAATGGGCTCAAATTTTATTATTTATAAGGTGATTGATACCTATGAGCAAGATGTCATCTGTTAGAACATCAATAGAGAAGTGCACAAGTAGTTTTGAAAAAAACAAATTTTCCTTGTTATATTATTTTATAGATTCTGCGTTTATAAAGATTAATAAAGATTTAATAGGGGATGTTCATTAATCACTCATATTCTGTTCCATTAGTTTCCATTAGTTTTGTAGAGAGACACGAGAAGATAGTTAAATTTATTGTTGCGAATAAGCAATTGATACTTCCTGAAAGCCAGATTAGAAAAGCTAACCCAATACAGATAAATAACTCAAAACTAACTCAATACAGACAGTCTAGTTAATTAGCAAATTAAAACTTATTTAAATAAATAAGTTTTAGTTTGATTTCAATTAATTTATGTTGCATAACCTTATTTCTAATAAAAATATTTGAAATACCATTTGGACTAACAATAGGTAAATCGTATTTAGCAAAAATGTCCTATATTTACTGTTATTTATTTCATAAATCCTAAGTTCCTTATGTCTCTATAGGGATCTATAATATGATGATTTTAGCATTCCAGAAATAAACAATATACGTAACTATCTAAAATAATTATTCTTAATTGTTGGATATTTCAACAGTCATAGTTTTCTTTGAGAATCCAATAAAATCGACTTAAGAAGCAGGAAAATTGAACAAATCATTAATCGAACTAAAATAATCATACTTGACATATTAGAATCTACAAATTTTAATTCAACAAATATATAATTATTTTACATAAATTTATCGTTACATAATGCTAATGTAGCAAATTTTATCAAATTGCTCTGAATTGCAATATTTTTTATTATTTACATCGAAGCGAAAAAGCTAAATTTAAGAAAGCAAACTGGAGTAAATATCAAGAAGTCATTAAATATAAGAAGTTATATCAATTTTGAAGTGATCATTAAGAAACAACAAACTCAGTTATTTCTAAAACAATAGGATCAAGTACAGGGTGGAAAGAAATGTTTGGTCTTGACTATCATAGGTGAATTCTACACCGTCTATTTGATTGAAAAATATATAATTTGCCGCAAAATTGATCTTGATCTTGAATTTCAAGGTCAAAATTTCTTTTTGTTTACATTTGTATTCATCACGAAAATCAAACTTGTTCAAAGAACTATGAGTCGGAATAAAAAATGGTTCTTTTGAAAAATGGCAAAAAAGTTTGAAATTAACGGCTGACTCACTAACAGCGAATATGGTAGGGACTAGCAGAGAATTGTTCCAGCTGGTTTCATTTAGCCAAGACTAAACATTTCTTTCCATCCTATGCAAAAGAAAGATCTATGCTGTTGAAATGAAGAATATGAAGCAGTGTGACGTTGGCATTCGTTTGCCACCTATGAACTATTTATTTTAAACTCTAAATTCTAAAAAATTCAGATGTCGTTATTTGATGGTCATGTGATTTCGAATTACTAGCTATTCTTCCATTAAAGGATATTCTAAATTGATTTTATTATTTATTAAAGGATATTCTAAATTGATTTTATTATTGAGTTTATCCTGAAACATGGGTTCTGTTCAGAATTAAGCCTCATCGTAAATTATAGAAAGATTAAATAACAACAGACTGTTCAATCTCAGAGTATTCTGAAACTATCGCTGCTAACTCACACATACATGTATAAAATATAAAATATATTTATAATTCAAATTCGATTCAAAAGACTAAAAATATCATTATAAAGAACAATTAAATGAAACAAAAGGGAATCATGGATCAGGTGATGAAAATTTTGATTTCAATTTTCTCAAAACTGAATAATTTTCATTCTATTATAAAAATATTAAAGTCACAAGTAACACGTGTGAATATTGACATTCAATTGTATGAATTTTTAACCATATTTTGAGTTTGTGACAACTCAAGATCAGGACTATTAATGCTTTAAATTATTTAATCGATTAATTATGGACAGCTTCATAAAACTTGAATCCACCATACATTGAACAACAATATTTCAATCACTGGAAGGAAAAAATAATTTAAAAGCTCATTGAATTCAAGATAAACAGACATGACATAAACATGACACTTCATCATTAACATTCGAGCCGAGAAGGTAACAGTCATCCATTATTTTCAACATTTTCTTCGCTAATTTTGTGGTTACACGGAAAAAACGTCGGGAATTGAAAAAAACAACATGTGCTTTCTGAAAAAAGGAATTCTACGGGTTGCCGTTTGTTGGAACAAAGAAAATCAGTGAAATTCTGACAAAGAATGAGTAGAAAAGAATGGAGGAAAACCCCTGCATCTACCAGGTATGTGATATTATACATAGATGACTTTCTTGTTGTAGGTTCCAATCCAGAAATATGTGTACAAGCCATGGAGGGATTGAAGAGGGAATTTGAATTGACCGAAGTTCTAGAAAAAACTTTTTAAATATCCAAATAATAGAGAAGGAAGACGGTTGCTTTATTAACCTGCGAAGCAGAGTAATGGCCATAAGCGAAGGGGTGCAGACACTACTATGGACATATTAATAAAGCCACAATCGAAGGTTAGAGTAATTGTAAATCAGTAGAAGTAATTATGATAGAGATGTAACTGTAAGAGGAGGACTGTTAAAATGACTGAAAAAATGAGCGTGGATATGTATGTATGTATGTGGATCAGCCAGGCAACGAGCGAAAACGGTTAGATCAATAGAGTTATAGAGTTCATAGACACCGGTAGAGTTAGAGATATCATAGAGAGCAAATCATAGAGAGTCTAGAATGAGGCCGTTTACTAGAGTGTCATTAGTGTGTGAGAGATAGAGCAAACTTCATCTCGTGGATATAATTATATATATTAATTCGCCTTTTTGTATTATAAAATATATTTGTAAATTGATGTTAAGTATTTTCGTTCTTCCTTCTTTTTCCAACAAATAACAACAACAACAATAA